CCCCCCCCCCCTTTTTATTTCTCAGCCCCCCCTGCTCAAACTACGTTCCCGCGGCTATGTTTGTAAATAGCGACAAACCTGTCTCTTTTCTTCCATTCATATCAAAAACACTTGATTGAATGAGTTGTTTCAACCAGGTATCATTTTTTTAACAGCATAACCAGCTGGACATTAACCAATCAGGTTTCAGAAGCAGCAATTAAACTGAGACTGTGTTACTGTCGGTCACTGAAGCCCTGCAGATTGCGAAAGCTGATTCAAGATCATGTGTTCTCATTCTGCTGGATCTTTCTGCCGCTTTTGACACTGTAAATCATCAGATCCTCCTGTCCACCCTCTCATCACTGGGCATCACAAGAACTGCATTTCATTGGTTTGAATCCTATCTCACTGGTAGGTCTTTCAGGGTGGCCTCGGGAGGAGAGGTATCTAAAGCAAATCATCTGGTCACAGGGGTTCCTCAGGGATCAGTTCTTGGACCGCTCCTCTTCTCTATATACACTACATCACTGGGATCCATCATACAGGCACATGGCTTCTCCTACCATTGCTATGCTGATGACACACAGCTCTTGCTCTCATTTCAACCAGATGATCCAACGGTAGCTGCACGGATCTCAGGCTGCCTGGCAGACATCTCGGCATGGATGAAAGAACATCACCTACAGCTCAACCTGACAAAGACTGAGCTCCTTCCCTTCATCGTCTTCCCTGCCACTCCAACTCTACAGCATGATTTCACCATCCAGCTAGGTTTATCAACAATTACCCCATCAAGTTCAGTCAGAAATTTTGGTGTAATCTTTGATGATCTGGACTTCCATCAAGCACAATCAAACCTCTACAAATGATTCAGATTGCAGCAGCATGTCTGATTTTGAACGAGCCCAAACTGGTCCACATAACACCTCTCTTTTTCTCCCTGCACTGGCTACTGGTTGTGGCTCGCATCAAGATATTGATGATTGCATAAGGAAAGAACAGCCACAGGCTCAGCACCCTCCTACTTCCACTCACTCGATGGCCCTTTTTGGCACTTTTCCACTGTGTGGTACGACTCGGCTCAGTACGGCACGGTTCGGCTCAGCACGATTTGCGTTTCCACTGCAGTTCAGTACCGCTTTAGTGTGGGCGGGATTATTCACAAGTCGTTATAGTTGCGCCGCCTCTACTGCCGCGACTCCTGAAAAACTTTTTCATTCCGCGTCGCCCCATCAAGCCCTCGCTGGATCCGCTCCTCTGCTATCAACAAGAGGAACGTCTGTACTTCCTCAACAGACAACAAAATAGCCACTTTTTGGTTGTTAAAAAATGGTGCACTCGTTCAAAACAGTTGTGTTCGATCCTTCGCTGGCTGTGCTGATTTAAATCTAGCGGTTGTACGGTTCACTTGGAACCTCAACCGAGGTGGTACTAAAAAAAGTACCAGGTACTGTACCCAGTGGAAAACTCCCCAAAAGTGAGCCGTACCGTGCCATACCATGCAGTGGAAAAGTGCCAAAAGAGGCACAAAATCACTTTCCAGAACATTCTCATTCACCGTTCCGGGCTGGTGGAATAGTCTTCCCACGCCCATCTGGAATGCCGAATCCCTGACAATTTCAAGGGACAGCGGAAAACTCATCTCTCTTTCGTCAACATTTGACTGCATCCTAATTAAATAAAAAGAACCTTCACTTTCACTTATCCCTCCCTGTTCTAGCTTGTACTAATATGAGCGATGTCTAAAACTTTGTATTACGAGCATTTCCTGTGTTTATTTGCCTCTTTATGATGAATCGCATGTTGTATTCCTCGATTGCAAGTCACTTTGGATAAAAGTGTCTGCTAAATGAATAAATGTAGAGTCAGGCAGAGTGTTGACAGTTAGCAAGGTGACAGTAGAGTGACAGTTCATCAAGAAGGAAAGCTGCACTGAGAAGTATCAAAGACTGTAGAAAACCCAAGACGTGTCACTCGTATAGTTTTGAATGGGGGAAAAATGCAACGCTCAATATGGCTGCTCTATTGAAGGAAGCCCCGCCTTCTGATTAAAAGAGCCAATCGCTATTTGGTAAAGTCATTGCATCACTGTAGCTGCCGTTAGAAGTCCCGGTTGTTATAGAAACAGTCAGTGTTCTGAGATGCGCTTAGGACTGCGCATACGCACTGGCTGGTCTAGCCTGAAAAATACGCTTTTTTGACGCTATTTGAGCAAAAGAAACAACATTAATGAGACAGTTGTTGTCAGATTTCATTGGTGATTTCAAATATGAAATTTATTCGTAATCTTTGTGAACAGTTTTGGAGAATTTGATGTTTCCCCATTCAAAGAGACAGGAGATGCACTTGCATGCCTGAGAGGCATTTCAAAGATGGCCGCCGAGTGACATGACTTGCCTTAAAAGGACTTTGGAAGTATCAACTGAAATAAATGCTTCCGCCATGTGGACACTAACATAATAGGCAACTCTGGCCCCAGAGAGTGATTGTAAATTAAGTTTACAGGAAATAAGCTTGAAATTTCATTCTGCATCTTCTCAGATACTGCGATTTCATTGTAATTCTTATCACAACATCACTGAATTCACCATTAACTATTCACCTCAACAGTTTATGTTGTTGTATATGATACCACTGTAATCCTTGACCATAAAAACATAGGGGTAGATAGACATCACCTTTTCTGTGTTATCATGTTTGGTTCAGGACATATCACATAAAATACATAATTTGCTAATAGCAAAAAGTAAAATGGCCACCATGGCAACCACTAGGTGTTTTTGCGATGGCTCCATTTCTGAAAATGTTCAGGGCTGCAAACTGTACCAAGTTTCATGCTTTTATGAAAAAGTGAATATTTTTTTCACATATCACCTGGACTATAAGGATTGAGTTGAGCAGGTCATTCCACCAGGAGGGAACAGTTAATGAAAAAGTCAGTGAGAGTGATTTTGTGCTTCTTTGAGATGGCACAATAAAGCGACGTTCACTTGCAGAACGCAAGCTTCTAGAAGGCACATAACTCTGAAGTAATGAATTTAGGTAAATGGGTGCAGAGCCAGTGGTGGTTTTGTAGGCAAAAATCAATGCCTTGAATTTAATGCGAGCAGCTGCTGGTAGCCAGTGCTAATTGATGAACAGAGGTGTGACGTGCGTTCTTTTCAGCTCGTTAAAAATGTATCTTGCTGCTGCGTTCTGGATTAATTGTAAAGGTTCAAAAACGTATTTTACCATCATTTTCCTCCAGGGTCTTTACCCCTGTTGTTGTAGCTACTATAGGCAGACGTTTTCACACACACCTCCATGCACACATTTTGGTTAGGACTGGCTCCCATGTTGTTTGCATCACGTTTGTGTTACATCGGATGATTAAAAAATAAAACCCCTACACTGGCTGTGTTAGTTGTTTAGTTATTTTGATTAGGAGTATCGTTTAATTTAGGTTTCAAATGTGCTGCACTTTGATTTGATGTTGTCATGTGACACTGTAGGATTGGATGAAGTTGTCATAAATTTACTTTTGATTGATGAATTGATTATGCATGACCACTGGGAATCAAACCTACTCTTAAAAATTATGTTGTCTGAGCCATACCAGTAAATTTTAATAGATTTTTGTAGTTTGTAGGTTTTCATGCATCAGGTATTTTTTATGCATGTATGTCCTTCTAATTAAACTGTATTAGTCAGTCAGGCGTCTGAGCTGTTATTACTCAGTAAAGGTTGACTGGATTGAGGTAATTCTACAGGTTCTGGATTATCACTGGACTCTGCAGCTAATTCTACAGCTGATTCTACAGGTTCTGGACAATCCAGGATCATAATCGGACTCAGATCACCTGCACCAGGATTGAAGAGAGGACCGACTGATCCAGAGAATCTGCTGCTGATGGTCAGGAGATGTTTACTCTCTTTGACGTTGTAAAATGACAGCAGACCCTCATCATAATCTAACAGAACTCCCAGTCGTTCAGGTCTCGGTGTCAGTGAGAGTTTAACTGGTGGTTCAGTGTTGGTGTAAAAGCCATGAGGACCGTCTGAACACAAGAACCAGAAACCAGCTGATGGAGTTAAAGCAGATCTGTCTCTTGTAGTAAAATGTCCATGTTTCACCACACCAATTAACCAGTAGTTTTTGGGAGGTGTATTTGTTTGTGCCAGCTCTACCTCCCAATAGTGACGACCAGAGGTGAATCTTTGGGCTCCAAATGCACAAAATTGAAATGGAAATCCCTCTCCAGTGTGATGATAATCTTTACTGTCCCTCACGGTTTTACAGTCCTTAGAAAGCTTCAGATCTGGATGTAAATGCTCACGGTCAATAGTGATCTCAACTGTGAGGAAAAAATACATGAGCAACAGTTATTAATCCTCATGTATGAGATGATGTTTACACATATGATGAAATATATGAATACATAACTGAGATGATGTCATACCTGCATGTTTCCTCAGTTCTTCTATATTTATGTCTCCCACAACTACAATAAAAAACAAATTATTTGAGATTTATATATATTTATTCATGCAATAAAGTTATGTGCAATAACCTTATGTTTATTTGTTACCACCTGCATCCTAGTACATCCCTGCATCTCACTCTATTCTGTTCCTATTCTATCATCTATAGCACAACTACATACAATTTATTTAATTTTTTTTTTTTTAATTCCATTTATTTTTGCTATTTTTGTCTATTTATATTTACATATGTGTGTATTTGTATTCTCATAATTTTTATTGTCTGTGTGTTGTCTCCGTGTACTGGAAGCTTATGACACTAAAACAAATTCCTTGTATGCGCAAGCATACTTGCCAATAAAGCTCTTTCTGATACTGATTCTGATTTCAGACAGGGAAAACATTATAGCTGTAGTTAACATCTAAAGTTATCAGTATCTAACAAAAAATGAGTATAATCGTCCAATATGAGAAGTGAATGATGCTTATGTGACTGAGGGAGTGTTGCAGATGAATCCATGCATTATGATCATTTTACATGTTGAAGTTATACATTTGATTTTATTCACATTATGTTCTGTTAGACACAGCATTTGCATAAAAATTTTTTTACGAGGGCTGTCCCGAAATTTCCCAGCCATGTAATATGAAAAATAGAGGCTTTTATTGAAGAAGATATAAAATACAAGAAACATAGGACAGTCAGCAGTTGCCCATACGTTTTCGTCATATTGCATCTCGCATCTCATCTCATTTTTATTTTATTTTCATATTACATGGCTGGATACTTTCCGGACAGCCCTTGTATACTGTATTTGCAGTAGTTTGTAAAATATACATGTAGCATTACAAAACTTTTTTGTTTTGTCCATTTTATTTCCACTCTCACCTACTCCATTATTCCACTGAGAGTCACCAAAACCTGTTCTGTTTGTTGTTTTCTGCTGCAATGTGCATGTAGATGTTTATGTCAGCAGTTACAGTTCTTATAAACATATAGCAAAGAACAAACTTCTTCAAATACCTTCTTTTGTCAGTCTCTCCAGAGTTTCCTCCTCACAAACTGAAATGAGAGAAAATATCAGCGGAAAGTTTAATTATCTGCTTCACAAAAACTCCAGACTCTGTAAACCACATTACATTACAGTTTAACCCTTTCAGGCAGAGAGACAAAGTTTGTTTCAGATATTCTTTTATATTGCTGTTTACGGGCAACACACTAAATCGTTTTATTTCATGATTCTTTAATTTATTTAAATTAATCTCAGAATGGTTTCCATCTCTCCTGCCATGTGATCTGATCTTACTCTGAAAGCACTGTGAGTTTTGTGTGTAACCAGCACAATTCATACAAATGCATAGCGTTTAATGCCTAAGACAAGAACATTTCCCTTGTAAAATTAATTTTTATAGTAATATTATTGAATGTATACAAGTCAATTCAGTTTAACTGGTAACTATTTCAGAAGCACCATCAGCAGCTTTTGTGTGCTTTCTCCTAAAAAACAGATATTAATAAAATAGAAAGATTTCTGTTTTAAAATATAGAGATGAGAAAGTACTTTTTTTTCTTCATTTTTCCCCCAGTTAACCACTGCCTGAAAGGATTCATGACTGTGTTCAGATGCTAAATGAAGTTCATGTTACTTACTTTCTTTAGCTGGTTTATTTCCTGCAGAACAGATCAAAAATATCAACACATGAGATATGCATGAAACAAAAACCTCCTGAAAACCACATCTTTAAACACCTTCAGCCAGATTGTACCTGTTAGTTTCTCTCTGTATTTGTAGAGGATCAGGCCAACCAAACAACCAAACAGAAGAGCACAGGTGAGAACAAAGAAGAAAAGAGCCTTCCATGGACCTGATGAATCTGAGAATTAGAAACCAGATGAATCTAAACACCTTCAAAATATATAAACCAATTACAGTAAAGTAGAAACATATTTTTAAAACTCTTAAATGCTGTTTGCAACCCATTTTTCTTCTAAAACAGGATTGAGAACATCTCGGTTACGTATGTAACCCTCGTTCCCTGAAGGAGGGAACGGAGACGTCATGTCGGTGATCGACGAATTGGGATCTCGCTTTGAGAGACCAATCCACTTCGAGTGTAAACTAAACGAGCCAATGCACATTGGCATGCGATGATTGCATCCAGCTGCCGCTGATCACAGCGTGAGCATAAAAAGGCAGCAGGTGCAACGCATACCAGGTTTTCAGGTGACCCGGCCGCTCAGCGGTGGTACAGCAGCCGTGGTGACGGGATGTGACGTCTCCATTCCCTTCTTCAGGGAACGAGGGTTACATACGTAACCGAGACATTCCCTTTCAGTCGGTCACTACGAGTCACGCCGTGACTGACGAATTGGGATCCCTACCAAAGCGCCATGGATGCTGCCCCTTCCAGTATCCTGTACGAACCTCCTGCGCCCATTTTTGGTGTAGGCCGGGGCTCACAACAAGAAGACCAATCACTGTTGTCATAGCACTACCCAGTCAGTGGGATTGGATAACACTGGGAAAATGAAACATACCCGTTCCAACTCCATACCGAGAAAAGGCATTCCCCTCTGCCGGCCTCCGTGGCAGACAAAGAGCTGGTCTGAGGTCCTAAAGCTTTGTGTCCGGTCTCCGGTCTATCTCAAGGCTTGGACGGGACAAAGCAAAGCTAGGGCTGGCTAAAGCATGACCCTGATCGGGTATCTCTGGTGGGTCTTCTCGGCGAGAAGAACACCACTTGACGAACAGGTTCCACTTCAAGGCGCGAGCGTGTCTCGTAGACAGTGCTCTTGCTGAAGTGGTGTAAACTACCTCCTGAGGTAGGTCACCTAGAACCTCTGCGTCCCATCTGGATGCGGGTGCCACAGGGTGCCCCATCTCTGAGTCGGTAGTTCCTTCCTCAGAGGAACCAGGTCCAAGTGGGCCAATACGGCGCCACAAGCAGGACCTGCTCCTCGTCCTCCCTGACCTTGCACAGTGTCTTTGCGAGAAGGCTCACTGGGGAATTTTTTTTTTTTACCATCTGGGGATGGAGTCTCCACTCTCCGGGGAGCGCAGCTCGTGACAGCTCGTCGGCTGCACAGTTGTGCAGGCCCGGAATGTAAATGGCACGAAGCGACCTCAGCTGCTTCTGACTCCAGAGGAGGAGGTGGTGGGCAGTGTTGTGCAAGTTACTTCCAAACTGTAATGCATTATAGATTATTTGTTACTGTTATTTAAAAGTAATTCCTTACCTTACAATATTACCTTTCAATATTACTGTCTCAGAATTGTAATGCGTTACATGACTCCTGTATTACTTTTGAGTTACTTTCACCAAAATAACTACAGAAGTAGAACTTAACATTCTAAAATGACAAAATGTACTGCAGAGCATTTTACATCCAGTAGAGGGCGATATGGTGTAGCATAATGACTGTGGGCTATCCAGGCTACTAACAATATAGCTTATAATTGGGAAAGTGAAGGCTCAAGACAATGCAAGAAAGAATGACAGCCAGAATCACAAACGATCCAAGTCTGTTAAAAGTATGGTAGAGGTAAAGTGATTATCTGGCAATATCTGTGAATAGCTTGGGTCTATTCATATTAGACACAACAGGACTATATGTAAACTCTAATGCCATGACAAGATGCGCATGCGTCCATCTCGCGAATTTACAATCTTCTGCCATCTTCACCCATTAGCCGCTTTTCCACTGGCCAGTGCGAGCCAGGGCTTACAGCGAGCCGGCCAGGGCTAATAGCCTCGGACCTCGAGCACAGACTCAGAGGCCAAAATCATGCCGCGTTTCTACTGTCAGGCCAGTAGCCTCGCAGCACTCCTGTAAAACCCGCCCTAAACACGCCTTCACCGGACTACGTCACACAATACAAAGTTCCACCAGCCAGAGGGAGATTAATGAAATAAATCGCTAAACAAATATATCAGAAGCTGTCGTTTAGTCTTTATTTACAAACTTGGACACCACACGCGGCTATTGACTCACCATGAACAGGAAATATAACTTATTTGCGGCATTTTTGATTCCTTAATGACTTATGGTCTCGCTGTAGACTGAGCTAGTATGAGCCAGTCGTCGAGGTAATTGAGAATGCGAATGCCCTGCTCTCTCAGGGGAACAAGGGCTGCCCCTTTCGTGAAGCCCTAACCCTAACTTTCGTGAAGATACGGGGCGACAGGGACAGCCCGGAGGACATTTGGGCTAAAAGTGTGTTGTAACGCAAGTGTTACTGAACATGTACCGAGTAAAATATTACTGAAAATTGATTAGTAATGCCTTACACTACTGTATTACAACAAAAAGTAATCCGTTACTGTAATGCATTACTTTTGTAACGTGTTACTCGCAACACTGGTGGCGGGCGAGTTGCGGCATGCGACAGGAACATAGACCACCTTGTCGGTTGATGTACACAATGGTCACAGTGTTGTCCGTGCGGACCAGCACGTGCTTGCCTCGTAAGCGCCCTCTGAGACGGTTCAAGGCAAGACGTACTGCCAACAACTCTAGGCGGTTGATGTGCCAGTGCAGTTGGGGGCCCGTCCAACCCCCCTACACTGCGTGCCCGTTGTACGTGGCCCCCCAGCCAGTGGTGGAGGCATCCGTGTAAACCACAGCATGCCTGGAGACCTGTTCCAGGGGCACTCCTGCCCGGAGAAACGTGAGGTCTGACCACGTGGTGAAGGTTTGGTGGCAGGCCGGTGTGACTTGGACCCGGTGAGTGCCGCACTGTCATGCCCATCTCGGGACTAGGCCATGAAGCCAGTGTTGAAGCTGTCTCATATGAAGCAGCCCCAGCGGCGTGACTGCCGCTGCAGCTGCCATATGCCCCAGGAGCCTCTGAAACTGTTTCAGTGGGACCGCCGTACTGCTCTTGAACATATTCAAGCAGTTCATCACCGACTGAGCACGTCCCTGCGTGAGGCGTGCTTGACTGAATCCAACTCCATACCGAGTAAAAAGAGATCCTCTGCGTCGAGGAGAGTTTGCTCTTTTCCCAGTTGACCTGAAGGCTTAACCGGCTAAGGTGCGAGAGCACCAAGTCCCTGTGTTCGCACAACTGATCCTGAGACTGAGCTAGTATGAGCCAGTCGTCGAGGTAATTGAGAATGCGAATGCCCTGCTCTCTCAGGGGAACAAGGGCTGCCCCTTTCGTGAAGCCCTAACCCTAACTTTCGTGAAGATACGGGGCGACAGGGACAGCCCGGAGGACAGGACCTTGTACTGATATGCTCGTCCTTCGAATGTGAACTGCAGCAATGGTCTGTGGTGCGAAAGGATCGACACATAAAAGTACGCTTCCTTCAGGTCGATCGCTGCAAACCAATCTCGGGGACGGACGCACCCGAAGACGTGTAAACCACAGCATGCCTGGAGACCTGTTCCAGGGGCACTCCTGCCCGGAGAAACGTGAGGTCTGACCACGTGGTGAAGGTTTGGTGGCAGGCCGGTGTGACTTGGACCCGGTGAGTGCCGCACTGTCATGCCCATCTCGGGACTAGGCCATGAAGCCAGTGTCATGTCGGATCGCCTCAGTCTGCTCCTGTGCAGCCGAGAACTGCTGGGCCATGTTCTCGACTGCGTCGCCGAAGAGACCGGTCTGGGACACTGGAACCTTGAGGAACCGAACTTGTCGGCATCCCTCATGTCTGCCAGACACAGCCAGAGATGGTGCTCCTGGACCACAAGTGTGGACATCGCACGACCCAGAGGACACGCAGTGACCTTCGTCGCTCGGAGCGCAAGGACAGTTGCGGTTCGGAGCTCTTTCAGAACTTCCGGATCGTGACCACCTCGTCGCTCGGAGCGCGAGGTCAGCTCTTTCAGAACTTCCAGATCGTGACCACCCTCGTGCAGGTCCCTCAGTGCTTTAGCCTGAAGAACCTGCAGTAACACCGTAGAGTGTAAGGCGGAGGCAGCCTCCCCATAGGCCACAAAAGCATCGCCAGACAGACCAGACGAGTACCTACAGACCCGGGAGGGGAGGCACGGTTTGACCTGCTGGGTGGAGGCAGTATCAGGACACAACTGCATCGCAACCGACCGCTCCACCAGGGGGACCCCCGTATACACCCTAACTGCATCACCGTCGAGAGTGGTGAGGGAGGAGGAGCTAGCAGGTCGGTTTCCGGCAGAAAAAGGTGCCTTCTACGACCTGGTAAGCCCCCTCATGCACCTACGGGAAGAATGGCACCGGGGCGGGGCGCTGAGAACCAGCGCGGGCCACCCCGAAGAACCAATCGTCCAACCTTGAGGGCTCGGGACACGGTGGAGATTTCCACTCAAGCCCTACCCTCACGGTGGTCCGGGAAAGCATAGCCGTCATTTCCGGATCCGATTCAGGCATTGTTACAGTCCCAGAGGGCAGCAGTGCAGCTGAATCTTCCTCTCCAGAAAGCTCCGGCTCACCCTCTGATGCAGAGATCGACATCCGATCGTCGAGAGAGATCTCTCTAAGCGAGATCCCAATTCGTCGGTCACCGACGTGACGTCGAGAGTGACCGACTGAAAGGGAACAAAATGTAGGATGAGATTTGATTTTTCTTTTAATAATTGGAAGGTTGAAAAAATAAGAGGGAATGATGACATTGAAGAAAACTGACGGAGCACAATAAGACCAGGAACATGCATTTAAGAATGTATGCTGATATTTTATAAATTATATTAAGGGAAGTTAAGATCACAAGAAGAAAAACTAATGGAAACGACAGGCCTAGCATTCAAGCAAATGTGATCACTTTGTTTGTGGTATCTACAAATATCCATGTTCTCTAACCTGAAGACACGATGCCCTGTATGTTCAGTCTTCCTTCTTTTAACTCTCCAGTTCTGAGAGAGATTGAACATGAGACCAGTTGAGCGTCTGAGAGAGAGACGGCCGTCCAGCTGTGGACAGAGAACATCTCATCTGCTCCACGACTGTGAGACGATCCTCCAGGACGGAGAGCCCTTCCATCATCTGACGTCCACGAGACGCTGGGCTTTGGATACCAGCCGCTGGACCTGCAGCTGATGTTCACACGCCCATCATCTAGAGGCTTTGGAAACAGGACAGGAGCGGATCCTAAAGCTGACGAGAGGAGGAGAGACAGATGTTCAGATCTTCTCCTGACACAAAAACTACATGCAGGATAATAAGTATATTGTTTAAAACACTGTCTAATGATGTTATGATTTTGAATGTCTTCTCAGGGTCTTGGAACAGTTCAACAGTTCTGTCATCATTTATTCAACCTCCAGTAAACCAATAAGACTCTATACTATACTATACTATACTATAATATATATACTGTATATTAGTTGGGCAACAAAAAAATCCACCGATATATTGGCCGATATTTGGCATTTTTGGGCATGTTTTTATATTTGGCTGACAAGTGTTGAATGTTTTGTTTCGACAGCAATATGAACTCCAAACTTGTGCAAAAAAGAGACTTTAAGAGGATTACAGAATCAAGAAGTTGCTATTTAAAATATAACAGTTAATTTATTTTACAGATTTATCGGTTACATTCACTAACTGTAAGTAACTTTGCAGCTACATGTCAACAAAGTGTTACCCATTTATTTTTATTATTTATTATTTATTTCTAATTATTTTAGCAAATATTATATACAAAAAAATCCATTGCAGCAATTGTTATGCAAATACAACTAAAATAGTATAATATCATATATATATCGGTTTATATTGGCCATTGGCCACCCTGCTCTTTATGATATCGGCATCAATATCGTCCATCAAAAAATCCATATCGGCTGACCACTACAAAAAAGCACTATTATACAAAAAAGCACTATTATCATAAGAGGAATCCAAATGACTCAAGTTTAACTCGGGTATGCGTACACCATGTTTGACGCCATGATTTCAGCATTTTCTGCAAATAGCGATGAGTTGAGTCTGTTTCTCACATTAAGCAATCATAAGACTTGGAATTTAGTCATATGGATGAGTTTTATATCAACAGTCCTCAATGATGATGAGTTTTCATTATGCAGAAGAGCACATGGAGGAGAGAATTTCAAAGTTTGGCTGAACTGTGGCTTTAATGAAGTGTAGATCCTCAGAAAACAGACCACTCACCTGTGATTTTGAGAACCACTTCTCGGCTGTCATATGAACTTTCTCCACTCACGTAACAGTGAAATGAATCTTCATCCTGAAATGTGAGTTTCTCCAGCCGTAGAGAGACGTCTCCATCCTTCAGTCCACCAGACTGATCTGACCGCAGAGCCAAAGAGGTTCGGTTCCTGTACGGTTCCTCCTGGACGTCCTGGATCTTCCCATGATTATAGAGCAGAACAGGGTTGCTGAACTGATCGTGACGGTACCAGCGGATCTCCAGAGCTTCAGCGTTCTCAGGAGGAGAGATCCAGCAGGGAACAATCACTGTGGATCCCACATGAGCCGCTATAGGATCACCAGGAACCACTACAGTGAACGACACTGAGAGAGACACGCACTCGTTTTAACAGGAATCCAGGTGATCGGAAATTTTTGCATGAGAGCAGAAGCTTTCACCACTTGCACAATTTGCGGATTCGCGGCGTTAACAAAGAGAAAACTGCTTGTTTTGAAAGTGACTTCTGTGCTTCATACATCACTACACTATTGACTGACAATGGATGCTTTTTTGTACACGAAATTTTGCTAATGTAAATGCAACTTTATGGTGATTCTAAATCTTGCAACATTTCTTTTTCTTTTTTTTTTTGTGAAAACAAATATTTAATATTCATTACATCTATAGTGCAAAATCTAGAAGGCAGGCTGCAGTTCTGGATGTTTTTGAACAACTGATCATTGAGTCCTCCTACTTAAAGGAGTAGTTCACTTCCAGAATAAAAATTTCCTGATGATTTACTCTCCCCACGTCATCCAAGATGTTCATGTCTTAATTTCTCAAAAAGAAATTAAGGTTTTTGAGGAAAACATTCCAGGATTTTTCTCCATATAATGAACTTCAATGGGGTCCAACGGGCTGAAGATCCAGTTTCAGTGCAGCTTCAAAGGGCTCTACACGATCCCAGCCGAGGAATAAGCCTCTTATCTAGCAAAACTATCGGTCATTTTCTTAAAAAAAAAAAAGTATAGACTTTTAACCACATATGGTCGTCTTGCACTAATTCCGCGATACACGTCTGCAATTTGGACCTTCAGCCCATTGGTCCCCATTGAAGTCCATTAAAAAATCCTTGAATGTTTTCCTCAAAAACCTTAATTTCTTTTCGACTGAAGACAGAAAGAACATCTTGGATGACCTGGGGGCGAGTAAATCATCAGGACATTTTTATTCTGGAAGTGAACTACTCCTTTAACACTGACAGTAAATAAATATTGAAAGATTGACATATGGCGTTCTGGCCTTTACAGACTAGAGTAATAAATGTCATTTATTGTCTGCGTTTTCATACATAATTACTAAATTCTTCATTTGATCTTTCACTGATTTTAAACATGCTTGAATCGTTTCTTGTTCTCCGATAGTTTGCTCATCATTAGTTCAAACTCTTTGTTCATATAAAAGTGTTATCTGACTGGCAGAAAGGTCGTTTTTAAAGGGGTCATATGATGCGATTTCAAGTTTTCCTTTCTCTTCGTCACATTTCCGACGAGTGCTTGCGGTGTTCGGCCAATCACAATGCACTGGGTCAGCTGGCCAATCAGAGCAGACTGCGCTTGTCGGAAGGAGGGGCTTTGTAGAAAATGAAGCGTTTGAGAGAGGCGGGGCATAGAGGACCTACAATAATGTACAGTATTTGAAAAATAATGTGTTTTTTGAACATTAAAGCATGTCAACATATTCTGCTACACCAAATACACAAAATAATGATATTTAAAAAAGCATCATATGACCCTTTTAAAGAAGCATCTGCTTGTTATTCTTTAGGGTTCGTGTTGATGCTGTCATATGATCATCTTCTATAGGCACAATCTGTATGTAATCTAGTGCAATAATAGAAACTGATCACGTATATGCATAGGCGGAGGGTGAACCAACTCCAAAGCAGCCAAACATCATAAACCTGTCTTTTTAGGCAAGAACCAGACATGGGTGTCATGTAGGCTAATAAAAGTTTAACGGGACTGAATTTGTATTTAATGTGATTATAATTTAATTAAAACAGAAATGTATAATTATATAACATTTCCTTCCCTTGGTTATTTGAACGGCGAATAAATTATGTAGGCTACAGAAATGACATTATCACTAACTGATCTATCGCACTCTCAAAAAAAGTACCGTTATAATCACTGAAGCTGTCTACACTACGAAATGAATCCCTTTCTTACACTGTACGCAGGGCAGGACTTAGGGGGGCGGGGGCCCCTGGGCTTTAGGTTATGTTTGGGCCCTATACCTACACTACAAATGCCCTCAAATAGAGCATCATTATGGAGTAACACAAAATACACAAACATATGCTTTGAGGTTCATAAATAGTACAATTAATTAGCAAAATGTCTAGTCAAAGTTTAAATGTAATATTAAATATTCATTATAATATAATAAACAGGATGTGTTCTCTCAGTTGAGAGAACAAAACCCTGAAATAACTTTGAGCAATAAATAAATAAAATAAATAATCAACTTTTTAAAATATGAAACTACAACAGCCAGTAGGTGGCAGCAAGTGACTGTCTTAATGAGTGAGTTGAATCAACCGATTCGTTTAAAGAGCTGATCCATTTAACTTTGCAAACGACTGATCGAATCATTTGCTGGTCCGTGTAACGCGGAGGAACAAAACACTGTTGTTCGGAGACGCAGCGGAATTAGCCTCTGAGAGTTCTGAGCAGTGTAGAGTAGCGCTTGTTGTTTGTCATTTCTCCGATCACAAATGCAGACATGGTTTTATGTTTACGTGGCGCGATAATATAGAAAGGCAGGGCATAGAGGAGAAACAATAATGTACAGTATGTGGAAAATAATGTGTTTTTTTTACTTTAAACCGCATAAACACGTTTCATTACACCAAATACACAAAATAATGTTCTTTTTAGCAACATCATATGACCCCTTTAACAAGAGGATTCCTCTAGTTCTGTGTACAATTATAGAGCGACACGAATGTAAGCGCATTAGTGTTGTCGTTATTTTTTTAATTGTCGGATTATAATTATGTATCAATGAATGACACAGTTTTGAGTTGACTGTCATGGTGTGCGCATGAACCAGTGTGAAATACCTGCTAATTACGTTGCTTTTTCCTATCACTTATATTAGGCACTTTTTGCATTTAAACTGGATTATTCTGACTGCTGACATTGAAAATCATGCATGTGTTGTTTCGAGGGTATCGGTTAATTTCATGATTGCCGTGTTGACAGTGTCAGCTTGCATATTTTATTCATGTTCGGTTGCCTAATTCTCTTTCATGTAGGCTATTCGCCCCGATTTGATCCGTTTACCTTCGAAATTTATCTTATTTATAATTTTTATTATTTTGTCGTCAATATTTTGTTTTAAGGAGTTAAAATGGCCCTTATCAACGTTGATTTACATATTCTATAACATTATTTTGACAGTTAAAGTTGTGGGCGGGTTTTTGTGAGCTTTTGGGCTGGAAATCGTCCATCCAATCTGGCAACACTGATTCTAACTACAACAGCCAGTAGGTGGCAGCAAGTGACTGTCTTAATGAGTGAGTTGAATCAACCGATTCGTTTAAAGAGCTGATCCATTTAACTTTGCAAACGACTGATCGAATCATTTGCTGGTCCGTGTAACGCGGAGGAACAAAACACTGTTGTTCGGAGACGCAGCGGAATTAGCCTCTGAGAGTTCTGAGCAGTGTAGAGTAGCGCTTGTTGTTTGTCATTTCTCCGATCACAAATGCAGACATGGTTTTATGTTTACGTGGCGCGATAATATAGAAAGGCAGGGCATAGAGGAGAAACAATAATGTACAGTATGTGGAAAATAATGTGTTTTTTTTACTTTAAACCGCATAAACACGTTTCATTACACCAAATACACAAAATAATGTTCTTTTTAGCAACATCATATGACCCCTTTAACAAGAGGATTCCTCTAGTTCTGTGTACAATTATAGAGCGACACGAATGTAAGCGCATTAGTGTTGTCGTTATTTTTTTAATTGTCGGATTATAATTAAGTATCAATGAATGACACAGTTTTGAGTTGACTGTCATGGTGTGCGCATGAACGAGTGTGAAATACCTGCTAATTACGTTGCTTTTTCACTTATATTGGGCACTTTTTGCATTTAAACTGGATTATTCTGACTGCTGACATTGAAAATCATGCATGTGTTGTTTCGAGGGTATCGGTTAATTTCATGATTGCCGTGTTGACAGTGTCAGCTTGCATATTTTATTCATGTTCGGTTGCCTAATTCTCTTTCATGTAGGCTATTCGCCCCGATTTGATCCGTTTACCTTCGAAATTTATCTTATTTATAATTTTTATTATTTTGTCGTCAATATTTTGTTTTAAGGAGTTAAAATGGCCCTTATCAACGTTGATTTACATATTCTATAACATTATTTTGACAGTTAAAGTTGTGGGCGGGTTTTTGTGAGCTTTTGGGCTGGAAATCGTCCATCCAATCTGGCAACACTGATTCTGACTGGCATATAACCAGGGCCGGTGTTCTGACGATTTGTGCTACCCTGTCAGCATGATAATTAATAGGGTTTGAGGCTTTATTAATATGTACACCTACCCCAACCCTAAACCTACCCTTACAGTATTTAATATGGTGTTGACATATAATATATGGGTGTAGGAGCGCACGATGGTCACCGAGAATAACATGTGCGGCGCCCCCAGTCATGCCGGCCCTGCATATAACGAACAAATCAAACAAAGCTTTGTTGTTTATGATGAGAGAATTCGCGTGATCGAACGCGCACGCATTCAACAAAACTGATGAGTTTCAGCGGTGACTCATCTGAACGCTTCTGATTGGCCATTGCGTTCCTAAGCTCAACAGAATCGTCTGTGATTGGTTATAATGCGCAACACTGTAAAAACGCCTAAAATGAAATACGGTGCAACATGAGCAGATCTTAATTTAATGCGCAGTCGACACTTTCTATTCATTTACACTTTATTAGCAACAGACGTAATAGATGTAATGTGTTTGTGCATGAGGCATTTTTGCCCCAAGGTTAAGCCTTACACACGCTCCGCCTATTGTATATGAATTACTCGATAAATGTGAATATTTATTTCATCGGGTCTGTAAGGAAAATAAGCATGAAACTGAATGAAATCCAAGCATGTTCTTACCTGAAGTCTCTATGAGGAGATTCACCACGACAATAATCGACAGCATTCCTGTGAAATACAGACAGACTCCAATAAAACAAACTCTGAGGGAGATTCTTCCAGAATAAATCACATGAGAGACATAATCGATGCTCAGTGAGGACACAAACTCACCGGAGACGAAGAGAAATCAAATAAGTTCAAATATAAGCGACACAGGTCAGTGAATGCAAACGTGCTCCTGGCTTTCCTCCAGTTTTACTTTCGCTTTCTGAAAATAAGAATAAAGCAGACGTCATCAGACGAAGAATAGCGCTGTGATTGTGTTAGATGATATTTGCGGTGTGAATATACTGTACATGTGCGTGTGTTCTGCTGTTATTGAGGAGATCGATTCAGTCGCTTTGGCACGTGACGCGTTTCAGGATTTCTCCATTTTGTCCCCGTTTGACTAGAAATAAAACATGACATGATATGTGCGATATACAGATCAATAATATGACAATCTGGGCGTTCAGCTGTCTCCGGTGGAGCGTTAGATGAGATGATCGTTCTGTTCTGGGCTGTTGAACAGCTTTGGGAACTCTTCTTATGGATTTGTTTTCTTGAACCGGTTTAAGTGAACAGTGCTGTTGTTTAAGGCTTGGATCTGATCCTCTAATAGAGGGTTTATTCTGTCTTGTTTATTAATAATATAGGCTACGTCTGCAAGATGTCTGTTAAAGATCGCTTCATCTGGAAAGCGTCTGATAGACGTCTCTAGTTTTACATTCATTCTAAATCATAAACATCTTACAGACATCTTATACACGTCTATTTGACATCTGATAGGAAACGTGTTGCAGATGTAATGCAGACGTCAAATAGACGTCTCTGTGATGTGCAGCGAGTTTGAAATGAAAATACAGTTCATTTAACTAACTGAAGACCAAAATAGTGGAATCAGTATACAGTATACAACAAATGAAAACGTGCATGCACTTAGGCGGCATGTGACGGTATCAAATGTTCATGTTGCGATTAATTGCTAATGCTTTAATCACGGTATACGGTATTATCACGATATTGCAATTTAGTTGCAAAAAAGTGTTGTCATAATAAAGTATAACAGGTTTAATAACTTTTTTTTCTTATATCAAAAAGAAACTGAACATTTAAATACAATAAAGCAATACACAAAAAATGCATAAAGTAAATATTTCCACAGGTTAAAGTGCGAAAGAATTGTAAAGATCAATAGGTAACACTTTACAACAAGATCTCATTAGTTAACCTTAGTTAATGCACTAACATTAACAATGAGCAATAGCTACATTTGCTACAGAAGTTATTAATCTTTGTTACAAAAAACTGTTAGTTCATGTTAGCTCGTGTTCATTAAACACACAGTAGCTACTTTTGATTATAACAACGTGTTATTAAATATTGAAATGAAATAAGATTAATGAATGTTTAGAATAATTTTTCATTGGCAGCTTATGTTAACTAATGTTAACTAATAGAGCCTTAATGTAAAGTGTGACTGAATAATGAAGATTTTTAAATACATTTTTTTATTATTATTATGCAAACAGATATACAAGTTACAGATGACAAATCAAATACAAAATAACCAAGGTCAACAAAACATACATGACAGCCAACATGATTTGTGTGATTGAGTGATTGAATGTGTGTGTGTGTGTGTGTTTGTTTTGGAGGTT